GATATATATATATATATATATATATATATATATATATATATTTGTAATTTTTAGTTTTTGATGTTAAAGATTCATTTATTATTCCTAAAAATTGATAAAATATTTTTAAATTCTCGTACTTGAACAATCGTGTTAGATCATTATTTTATAGTAATCTTCTATATATTAGGTTTTAATCTCTATTTGTTAAAATTTTCTACTATTTTAGAATTGAATTCTTATCATTAAGGATATTGTGATAATTTTTATAAGTATATTAAAACTTGTTACACATGATAAGTTTATTTTTTAATAAACAAAAATTTCACTTTTATATAAAGGAGCATGCATAATATTTAAAAAAAGAAATTCTAGTGACACGGGTGTAATTTTTGAACAAAGCATTTTTATTTTCCATTCATGCCTAAAATAATCATACAAATTAAGTAAAAGTATATGCAATTATAAAAAGATATAAATATCTTAAAAATAGTGGAAACAAAATCCATGTATTCATTTTATCTATTGTTATAGATTTATGTAATAATAATAATAATAAATATTTATTTGTTATAGATCAGTTTATTAAGTTTAATATTTTTTTAAAAAAAGACATAAATTTAATTAAATAAATATTTAACCTGACTTATTTTTTATTAAAAAAAAAATCTTTGGTGGGTTTAATAAGCTAGGTCATACATAAATCTTTGTTGAACAACTTAGTCTATATTCATATGTAGTTATTATATGGTGACATATGAAGTGACATAAGTACTAGCAAATAGTGGCAATACGGTGCGTGTGAAGCACGTTTGTTGAATCTTGGCAATTGGTCAAGAGACTACTTTTTCGTCTAGTTAATATTGGTTGAAAATTGATAAATTTAAAAGTTATATTCATAATTCATACATTTAACTTTTAAAAGTCAATTAATGCTGGTCTCGATTGCATTTCGTTTTTCTTGTCGAGGTTAAAGGTAATAAGAGATCACAAGGAACATTAAATGCAACAAAAAAATAATTTTGATGCTTCTAAAATGCTTCTTATCTTATCTTATACAAGGACAAAAAGTATTTATAAAAAAAAAATTATGTTTTTATATAATAATTTATGAAAAATTGAAAATTAAATAAATAATATAGACACCATTAATATAATATTTTTTACAATGACATTCAAATACAAATATATGATAAATTTATTGAATTTTATAATAATTATACAATGAATTGTACCTAAGTTTTGTCTCTTTTTAAACTCTCTAATTGACATTTATTATTTTTGATGGGTTTGATATATAAAATTTGATTTTAAATAATATTTTCATCTTTTATAAAAATTTAATGATAAATAAGAAAAAGTAAAATTGATAAATTATTATTTTGTTCTATAAATCCAATCAAATCAACTAATATAATTACTTATATTAGTATATGTAATTAGATTAAAATTATCTTAAACATTTTATAAAATATAATTTGAATATCTAGGATCTCATCTTATACTCCATCAATTAATTAGGTTAAGCTCAGTTTATGAATAAATAAAATCATCAAAAATTAATTCATATATTTATATATAGTGAAGCATTTTATAAGTTTGGAACTATATCTTTTTTTACACAATTATTATTTGCACATGTCTTGGTCAAATAAAATCTAGCCTTAAGAAAATGAGAGATGAAAATTAGATACTTAGTTGCCTTTTATTGTCAGGAACAAAAAACTTTTTTTCTTTTATGCACAATTATGATGATGAGTAACATATTAAAATAACACCATAAAAAAATAAGAAAAGATCACACAAATTTATTTAACGTGGTTCAGCTCTTCATACTTATGTTCACAAAAATGTTCATTATTTATTTCAAAATATATATCTTGAAAATCCTCCTTTCGAGTTTTATGGGTGAAACTTGAAAACTCCTCCTCGCAAGTTTTCTAGCAAAACTTGAAAACCATCATTCAAAAGTGTTCTAGCGAAACTTGGAAACCCTTCTTCATATGACCTCCTCTCTCATTTAAGACGGTGACCCCTTCTACAGGTCAGGTGGTTCTTCTCATTTCAAAAGTCTCTATTTATTGACTTTACACCACTATTTTAAAAAGGAAACAAATCTCTAAAATAAATAAAATATATACTAATTCTAAACAATATCCTAAAAGAATCAATATCTTTTAAAATCTAAATAATATCTTAGAGATTTAAATTTAAAAATTTGAATTGTTTTTCCAACAATTCCTCCCTCAATTAAAATTTTCAAATTTGACTTTGTTGTCATGGATGTTTGTCACAATCATCTTCAATCATACTTTAACTCTGTAGTATTTATTGTCTCCATTTCTTGGATATTGGAATCGTTGTATGTCAATCTTCAATACTCAAGAGACAGGTCACCAGACTCCACGAACCATGAGCTCTGATATCATTGTTGAGAACAAAAAAACTTCTTTTTTTTACGCACAATAATGATGATGAGTAACATATTAAAATAACACCATAAAAAAATAAGAAAAGATCATACAAATTTATTTAACGTGGTTCAACCCCTCATGCCTACGTACACAAAAATGTTCATTATTTATTTCAAAATGTGTTACATATATCTTGAAAATCCTTCCTTCAAGTTTTGTGGGTTAAACTTGAAAACCCCTTCCTCATAAGTTTTATGAGTGAAATTTGGAAACCCCTTCTTCATAAGTTTTATGGGTGAAACTTGAAAACTCCTTCCTCGTAAGTTTTCTCGCGAAACTTGAAAACCATCATTCACAAGTTTTTTGGCAAAACTTGGAAACCCTCCTTCATATGACCTTCTCTCTCATTAGTTAAGGCGGTGACCCCCTCTATAGGTTGGGTGATTCTTCTCATCTCAAGAGTCTCTATTTATTAACTTTACATCACTATTTTAAAAAAGGAAACAAATCTCTAAAATAAATACAATATATTTCAATTCTAAACAATATCCTAAAAGAATCAATATCTTTTAAAATCTAAATAATATCATAGAGATTTGAATTTAAAAATTTGAATTGTTTTCCCAACATTTATATCAAACTTAATAACCACATAATCATGTTTAAGATCAAGAGGCATTTAATGACAAAGTTGGAATATAACCACGTGGTCGTGGGTTATAGTTGTAGTAGCTGTAGAAAAAGTTTTCCAAAGCTCCATGGAGGATGCCAAAATTTTTCCAAACACATTAGAGGTAACTGAGCCACTTGTCCAAAATTGGAACATTCAAAAAATGTATTATGTTTTTCTTTACCCTAAAGTAAGAATTTTATAATTAATTATTATGTTTTTATGGGTCCTGAGAATCTAAGAATTTTGTGAAAATTTATTTTTTATTGAATATCGTATTTTGGTGTCTAATCATGATCATTAGAGCAACTCCAATGGGAGTTGCTTGTCCCATGAAGCAACTCAAGTCTCGGTTTTCTACCATTAGAGGACTCTGACGTGGCAACATGAGTTGTTTGAAGAAGAGAGAGAGTTGCTTCTTCAAGCAACCGTTCCTTACCAGATTTCAAGCAAATCTTATTGAACATATTTGGAAACGTTCGGAAATAATAATGAAAATTAATTTCGTACAATGTCTATGTATTTATTATTATTTTATTTTATTTTTAATATCTACTTATTGTGTATTTTTTTCTCGTAATTTATTTTCTTTCATTGTAGTGCAATTATCCTTTTTAATAAAAATTAAAAATTGGTTCATAAATGATTAGAAAAAAATTCTAAAAGTTGAATTTCTTAAAGTTTCTTATCATTAGAGTAAATTTGTGTTTGAGTTGCTTAATACTGACATGGCACACTCGGGACCACTTTTTTCATTTTTCAATGCATGAAGCAACTCAAATGAGTTGCTTCCATTGGAGATGCCCTTAATGACTATATTTTATATCAGATATAAGTCTTAAATTGGATAAATGTCGACCTATTTTATAAGATGTAAGAGTGGGAAAGTACTTAACTAAACTCTCTTGACAAAAGATTAGGAGGGTAAACCTACC